CTGCCTCCTCTGCCCACCCCCACACCATGGCCGACGGAGCCCAGCCGAGTCATTGGCTTAAACAAGTCGTCCTCAAGATTTCACTCAGTCTGCAGGAGACCCGATGTGTTTTGCTCACCTGCAGACTCCAGGGCCTCTCTGATTCTGAGCCTAGGGTGGGCGGTGGTCTGCATGCCAGCCCCTGGCTCCCGCCGTGGGAGACGCTGGTCTGAATCAGGATCCCTGGTGTGGTCTGCCCCGACACCATTTGTTCAGCTTCTGAAAGCACCTTCCTGGGGTCACAGAGCAGGAGAGGTGGTAGAGGGTGGTGCTGACAGGGACCAGAATGTCTTGGAGGGGTCCTCTGGGGGTCCTCGGTCCTGATGCCTAGCACCCCGAGGAACCTCCACCCCACCCCCTCTGTGCCAAGGGCGTGTGGCAGCATGGGTCACATAACTAGGCTGGCCCTGGCTTCAGAATTCCCAAGTGTCCCCAGACCGCGGCAGGAGAGCCAGTCCCTCTGCGTGTGGGGCCCTGTGCCCCTGCAGAGACCAGGCCCAGCAGACACTGTGGCTAGGGAGGCCCTGAGAGGGCTGGATCRGAGTGCAGGAAGTGAACYCAGGTCTGCGAAGGCTCAAGGGACGGGAGTTCTCAGAGATCACCYGGCCCAGCCCCTCCATGGTGGAGACGGGAGACCTGGCCCAGCTCCCCAGCAAGTGGTAGCAGAGAGAGATCAGACCAGAACCAACCCAGGACCTTCCCCCTACTTCCCTTCCTTCTCTGCTTCTTTTCCAAGGTGGTCTCATCCCATACCAGGTCTTTTTTTTTTTTTCTGACGGAGGGGTACAGGGCATTTAACCCGGGGGGCCCTCGACCCCTGAGCCGCCTCCCCAGCCCTATTTTATATTTTATTTAGAGACAGGGACTCACTGAATTGCTTAGTGCCTCACTATTGCTGAGGCTGGCTTTGAASTCGAGATCCTCCTGCCTCAGCCTCCTGAGCCACTGGGATTACAGGTGTGTGCCACTGTGACTGGCCATGCCAGGTCATGGAAACCACCCACATGCCATCGGTCTTCAAGTCTCTCTCTACTTCCCACCTCCTCTCTCCTCCCCAGCCCAGACTCCCGGGTCCAGCAGGCCGCAGCAGGACACAGTGGTCCCTTACCTCCACCCCATCCCCCCAGCCCACAGCKGCCAGTGTGTGAAGCTTCTGTCTGCACATTGGATCCTACCCAGCACTGATCTCAGCTCGACGCACTGCACACAGAGGACAATTCCACCCCCAACCATGGCCTGCATGATCCGACCCCGAGGGTTCTCCCGTGACCACCTGCACCCGCCACTCTGCTCCCACCACTGKGCCCACTCATGACCGCCCTGCATGCTGCATTCCATTCTCTGGGACACGCTCCTTCTAGAACTCACCATGGCTCCCTTCCTGCAGGTCCTAGCTCACATGCCTCCCCCCAGAGCCATATTCCTGGGTACCCTATCTCAAACATACCCCGTTACTCTGTGTCCCCTGCCTTCTTTATTTTCCTACCTGCCAGTTAACCCTCCGGGGAACTGTGCTGCTTATCCCTTCCTTGATGTCCACCCTCCCCCTTGGAAGGTAACCCGCTGAGGACAGAGACCTGTGTGTCCACAGCTCACCTCTCAGTCCTGGAGCGGCAGCTGGTGCATCCTTGATGCTCTGTTAGGAGTCGGAGGAATGAGTCCATCGATAAGGAAATGACTTCCTGTGACACGTGGTACTGTGCTAAGCCCTGATGGCTTCAGCAGGGAGCGGGCGAACAAGGAAGGGCCCTGCCCTCCGACGGTCTGGTCACCCTCTTGGGAAGAGATGGTCATTTTGTTTGCAGGAGCCTCAGAGTGACGTGAGCCCTAAGGTGATGCTGAACTGAGCCCCCTCTAAGCCTGGGTGAGGATGAAGAATCTCCATGGGTCCCTGGAGCRAGGAATCAGACTTCAAGGACAGCTGATGAATCTTTCCTCTCTGTCGCTCTCTGGTCCCTTGGTCCCTCTGGACAGGATAGGGGCCCACAGTCATAGCAACGGCGCCCACAAGCATTGAGGGGGTGGGATCCAGTTCTCACTGGTGCTGGAATCAGGAAGAAGACTGGCACAGCTCCCCCCAGAGAAAACCGAGTCTTGCCCAGCGGCCCAGCCTGGGGGAGCCCTGTGGGTACCTTGGCTCGTCCCAGGGCACCCACAGGAGAACTCTGGTCTCCCCACTTCTCCTCAAGCCTTCCAGCTTCACCAGGCTGGCCACCCACAGCTCCCCACCCTCTGCGGCCAAGTCTCGGCATGACCAGCCTCCTCCTGCAGAGATGGTGTGACTGAGGCTGAGGAGCAGGTGCAGGAGCCCTTGAAGGCCAACCCCTTCCTCCAAGAGGCCTTCTTTGCTTTCTCACCGGGAGTGTGTCCTCCTTCCACTTACTCCATAGCACACGTCCTCCTTTTACTTCTTTACCTATGAGTCTGTCCATCCAGGGATGAGTCCATCTGTCCGTCTGTCCATCCATCTATCCGTCCATCCATCTATCCATCCATGGGTACAACCATCTCTCCATGGATCCATCTGTCCATCCAACAAACATTCATGGAAGACCTTCTGGATCCCTGGCACTTGTTCACAGTCGTGGGCTAAAGTCATGGTCCTTGCCTTCCGGGGCTTAGAATCTATTAAGGGTAACAGTCATGATGCAACKAATTAAAATGTCATACGGCCGTGATAAATGCTGTGCAAGAGAAGTGCCTGGACCCATCTGGGGTGTCAGGTCGGCTTTCCTGAGGAAGGTCACCAAGAGCCCTCTTTCCAATATGGTGGCCAAAACCATGTGTAGTTACCGAGCATTCACAACCTGGTTAGTGCAAAACTGAGCAACTGAACTGCAAATAGTATTTAATTTTAATTAATATTGGACACTGAAAAACTAAAGCACTATCAACCCTTTGTTGCTGTTCATTCAACACYACTTTATTGATTTGTTAAGACGACATTCCACTTTGTAGGAAATTCAGACTAAAGAAAAAAGTATGGAAGATATCACAATTTTTCAATGCTGTTTGCATGATGACTGTCTATTGGATTAAATGTTATATCAGGTGAAATTGATTTTAACTAATTTAGTTCATTTGACTACATTTAGGCTTGGAGAGGTGAGGAAACCAGACCAAGTGCTGAGCAGGTGCAGACCCTTTGTAACAGGTGCACTTTGCCAAGGTACACACCTGCGCTGGTTTCTTCCACCTGCTTTCAACTCAGCTCTGTCAAAYTTCTCCTTCCTTCCCCCCTCTGGCCCCTTAAACTCTTCCCACCTGACTGCGTACCTGCAGAACTGTGCTCTACAAAGTGGAACTGATGGATGACAAAGGACGAATCGTTTCCAAACTTTAGGAAATAGCTACTCTGGGTCAGGCCCTGTTTGAGGCCTGGTCCTAACTAGTCCAGATCAGAGCGCATGGACCTCCTGCCCTCATGCTTTCCCTGTGCCGCCCCTGTGACATGAAGAGGGACCAGGGAGGGGCGCAGGTGAGGTGTTCCTGGGTTCCTCCTGCCTTTCCTGGGGGGGTTCCTTCTGCCCTCTGGGAGGGGAGTCAGGGGAATCGGAGGCCTCTCAGCAGCCCTGTTCACTGTGGGTGGAGTCTGGAGGCCAGSTGCCTCCTGGAGCACAGGCCCGGGTGCTTGGGAGGGCCCTGGGGGTGCATGGCTGTGCCCAGCTTGGAGTCCATGCTGCATCTTCTGCTCCTGGGCCCTCTGGCCAACACTCAGCCTTCCAGAATGGGCCGCAGACAGGAGGCTCCAAGCTTGGCCACCCTCATCCAGGGCAGGCCTCTCCGAGGGCCCCCTGCCACTCTGCGAGGAGGAAGTCCACCCTGTCTCTTCTTGGCGTCTCTTTTCACTTCCCCTTTCCGCCTGCTCAGGGAGCCATGAAAATGGATCCACAAGCCCGCTGTCGGCCGCAGGACACACCTGGGGACAGAGGCGCCTCCGCCAACAAGCACCCATCCCCTCTGTCTTGCTTGGCCAGGAGGGGTGGCGAGGGAGGGGGGCCTCCAGGACAGCCCCCCAGCATGACAGCTCCTCTCAGCCTCCCCCTGGCACCAGCTGAGTGTACACCCCAGAGGAGCTGGGGGGACGGGGCAGGCTGGGCCTGGCTGCTTCACGTCAGCCTGAGCTCTCCTTGCCCTGAAGATCCCCTCATTATTTTGGAGTGAATTCTTTGTGCCCAGGAGTGCTCTGGCTGCTGGGACAGCAGGGAACCAAAGGCAGCATTTTCCTGGCAAAGGTTTTCATGGTGAAAACAGGCCCCAAACAATCCCAGGGGGAAGCCCTGGGAAGGCAGATAGAGTGGAGAAGGGGTGGAGAGAGACCAAGGGAGAGATGCTTCCATCAGGGCAGGGAAATTTCTGGCTGTGCTTCAAATTCATTTTTCTCAGCTTGGAATCCACTCAACAATTCCAGGCAAGAGGAAATGCCCGGTCCATGTCGTGATGCTCTAGTTAAGTCGAGGCCAGAGGGGGCGTTGCACGGTTCCTGCTCTGTTTTTATTGCATTTGGTCGTATTCGTCCCAGCTCATGTCACCAACCCTCCTGGGATCATATCCGATCCATTCTGTATTTCCAGAAGCCATCTGTGGGACAGAGAAGGCTCTCCGTGGTCCCACTATGGAGAAGCCTCCAGAAGAGGGGCCCCCACAGCTTATGTATCAGAGGACACAGAGCTAGCTGGCTTGAGGTTCAAGGTGGAGCTCAGCCCTGCCCCAGTCTGGCCCCCGGGGCACCAGAAAGAGCACCCAGCCAGAGGCTGCAGACACTGCTGCAGCTGTGGGTTTGGGGTTTGGATGGGGACTTTTGCCACAGTGACCACTTCTCCAGGTCTGCTGGGAGTGGGCAGCTGGGAAATATAACGTAGTCCCAGGCTGGCAGGAGACCAGGCAGTGGCTCTTGGGTCCCTGCAGAGCCTCATCCAGGGCTGCCGCCAGCACAGGTCAGGGACGCCAGGTACCTCACCATGTCTGCCTCCCCTGGGCAGGCCCTGGTMGCCCTCCTGCTCACTTTCCTGCTGAGACTCACAGGTGAGTCCTGAGTCCTGTCCATGGAGACCCTCAGAGCAGACAGGGAGGCCCCCAGGATTACCAGATGGAGCCAGCTTGTGTCCAGAGGGAGGCTGAGGCTGGGACCTGGCTGAGCCGGTTCCCTGCCTGCCAGGGGCTGTTGGGCATCTTTTTCTCAGTGTGGAGACTGTGGGAAACGGCGATGGCGGGAGCCTGGGAGTCAAGGGAGGAACCTGGGACCCAGGACGAGAGGCCAGGCTGGAGGTAAAAGAGGAGCCCAGGGTCCCCGATGCCAGCTCTGGGTCAGAGAGGGTGGAAACCAGGAATGAAAGAAGGAAAGAGCCGGATGCAGTGACGCATGCCTGTCATCCCAGCACCTTGAGAGGCTGAGGCAGGAGGATCAGGAGTTCAAAGCCAGCCTCAGCAAGAGCGAGGCACTAAGCAACTCAAGGAGACCCTATCTCCAAATAAAGTACAAAATAGGGCTGGGGATGGGGCTCAGTGGTCGTGTGCCCCTGAGTTCAATCCCTGGTTACCCCCAAATAAAAGAGGGAGAGAGAAGTCAGTTGGGTGCAGAGTCCTGGGCGTGTCTATTGCCTCCTGGATCTGTCCCCCCTCAGCACGCCCCACAACCCCTCTGTTTTGCAGCTGGGGAGCAGCCGGTCATCTCCCTGACGGGCCCATCTCAGAGGACCACCCCTGGAAATTCGGTGCCTTTCAACTGCACGGCTGGCCCCTTCAGCTCCACAAACTTCAGTGTCACCTGGCTGAAGGACAGTGATGAACATCCACCCTCAGCCCAGTCTCAGGTGACCGATGACAAAGGCAGGTACTTCGTAACCAGCAAGGCACTGGTGTTACTGACCGGAAAAGAGGTCTTGTCTCAGATCACCTGCCAAGTTTCCCACGGGGACCTCGCTGAGCCCCTGCAGATGACCTTGAATCTCTCTGAAGTGCTCCAAGGTGAGTGGGAGGTAGAGTGTGGTGGGGGCGGCATGGGCTTTGGGGGTTTTTGCCTGAATGCCCATGTCACAAATGGGAACTGGACATTCCTCCCTTCGTCCCTGATGGACATGTATAGGGATTATAAGTCTAGGCCCCAAGGGGATGTGGCTCAGTGGTCAAGTACTGCCTGGCATGCAGGAGGCCCTGGGTTCCATCTCCACCACTGCCCATAAATAGATCAATAAATTTAGTCATATCTATGATGGGAGACCATGGGTGTCTGAGGCTAGCTGTCTGGGTTTTGTCCCTAGGCCACTTTACAAGTTGTTTGACCTTGGGCATATCTCAGTTTCCTCATAAAATGGGAATAAAATTAAGACCTGCTTTGTAAAGTTCCTTTTAAGATTAAATGAGTTATTCCTTATAAAACACTTAGAACGATGCCCGGCACTCACTTGTTTCCCGTGGCCTGATTTTTATTCTGCAATTGTCTGGCTCCAACTTCCCTTTCCGAATATCTGTGTTCTATTCATTTCATTGCTATTTTGTTTTTGATTTTAACTATTATTCATTCAATAAGTCATGAGGAGCCACTGTACGCCAGGTCCTGTTCTAAGTGCTGTGACAGAGCGAGGGACAAGTCCCTGTCCTCATGGGCACGGTCTTTCAGTCATCCTTAGAATTGTATTTTATGATATGAAAATTTTCAAACTTATTGAAAAGAATATGCCAGACAGCCCCGCCCCTCCACCCATATTAATAAAAATAACAGCCCGATTTGCCTAATATTGAGCATACAAGAAAAAAATATTTCTTTAAAAAGAGAGTGAGAGACTTTAGATTGGCCCCTGGGAAGGGAAGACCTGGAGGGGACGGGCAGGCAGGGGCCCCTCTCAACAGCCCCCTCTTTYGCTGCTCGCTCTAGTCATCCCCACCCTGAAGATCACCATGGACGCCGAAGGGACCCGCATCCAGGTGCACCAGAGAGTGAACCTCACGTGCCACGCCGGCCACTTCTACCCCGCCTACGTGCAGCTCATCTGGATGGAGAACAGGCACAAGATCCCCACGGTGGAGTCCCCCCAGGTCACTAGAAACCCGGATGGGACATTCTCTCTGGAGGACACACTGCAGGCAGAGGTCACGCTGAATGGGAGTGAGTTTTCCTGCTGGGTGGTCCAGGARGAGCAGCCCCCCATGGAGGCCAATATCACCCTGCGAGCGCAGGCTTCCAACCGGGGGAAAGGTAGGTGCACCCAGCCCCTGGGGACAACATGGTCGGGGTGCTTGGAACTCAGGGCAACCCCTGGGTGAAGGTGGAGGGAGGCAGGGTGCCCTAACTGGTGTGAAAACTCTCACATCCATCCCSAAATCGCACTCCTCTCTCCCTGCCCAGCACCCCATCAAGAAAAAGGAGGGAAGTCCCCTCCCCCATTCATGCTGTCTTTGTATCAAAAAATTCTCTGTCTTAACACTTGACTGTAAGACATGGCAGAGCTGTCCCGGCACAGTGGCCCACACCTRTAATCCCAGTGGCTCGGGAGGCTGAGGCAGGAGGATCAGAAGTTCAAGGCCAGCTTCAACAATTTAGCAAGGCTTTAAGCAACTTAGTGAGACCCTGTCTCAAAAAATAAAWAGGTCTGGGGAGGTAGCTTAGTGGTAAAGCACCCTTGGGTTTAATCCCCAGTAAGAAAAAGGAAGGAAGGAAAGGAGGGAGGGAAGGAGGGCGGGTCAGAGATGGCAGATCTCTGGGCTCCAGATCCCTGATTCTGTTGGAAATTTCTAGAAGTCAATTTTAAAAAGAGGCTATGAATTCGTGACCCCTTTTGCTGGGAAAGAGGGTCCCTCGGGTCCTCACCTGGAGTCAGTATGAATCTCCCTCTCCCTCCCTTCTCTCTCCTCATCCTGTCTCCTCCACACCTAACCGTTTCCATTCCCCATTTTTCACTCTTTGTGGCTTTACACCATTTCGTCCACCAGGTGTCGCTGCCCGCTCAGTTCAGAGTCAAAGGGGCGCGAGCAGGGTTTCCTGGGTCCCGCTAGAACTGGCCTGGGAGAAGGACTAGCGGCCTGGAGGGGGCTGGCTGGGGCACGGGCTTGGTGAGGGGTGGTGTGATGATGGACCAGGCCTGGGGCCAGGGCCGAGCCAGCGAATGGGCTCACAGCTCTGCCGAGCCTCACCGGGTGGGAAAAGACCATCCCCACAGCGGAGCTGCCTATTGGGTGCTGCGCCCTGCAGCRCAGGCAGGGAACAGGGCAGAGCGGAGGGCCCTGCGGGGAAGCCAGCCCCTCTCCACCGAGCAGGCTTCCACCCGCTTTCTCTCTCCCTGGCAGGATTGGCTTTTCTGGGCCTGCTGCGAAAATTCTCCAGGGCAATAAACCCACCTTTAAATTTCTCTGTGCCCTGCCCCCCTTTTTTGATGCCCTGCAGACATAAGGAAAGGTTCACCCACTAGTAATGCTCAGGTCTGGGTGAAAAATTCCAAAATGGTCCTTTCTGATGGGAAAAGAGTTGCATTATTATTATTTTTTATTGACTCACTGAGTTTTTTCCTAATTTTTTCTCCTTCACCTGTGTACGGTATATCTGTCCCACTGCGGCAAGGCAAAGCCCCTGAGACCATCACTTTGATCACACCCCTGCCTTGTGCAGCTGGGTGGTCCCCCAGGATCTGCAGCGGGAAGGGCAGCCCCTTCCTCSCCTGGATTCAGGCCTGTCTGTACTTGGCACGAACACACCTTTTACTTCTGCAAACCTCCCCCATATCTCTTTCCTTAAGCAGTATCCTTGTAGCTCCCACACTGTGGCCCGTTCCTACTTGGTTCAGCTCACAGAGCACTCTCAGTATTCTGGGAGCCTCACTAGGAAACCTGATCCTCTGATGGGCAGCAGAGGGACCCAGGTCTGGGAGAGCCTTAGGTTAGTGCTGGCTTAGGTTAGTCTATTCATAAATGTGATTTTCCYATACTTTTCTCCTCTCTCCTGGTTGAGAATGCCAACTTCAGTGTTGTCTCAAATCTCTTTTCAACTCTCCGTTTAAAATACTCTATTTCTGATGTCCACTTCTTCTGAACTGTCACGTCTGCCTGTACCCCTTGGTTCCCACAATGCATACTTAAACTCTGGGGCTTCTAGAAACCCRTAGCCTGAGTTCTGTTGGGTTCACCTTCTCTGTATCCTGGGAGCAGGGATTGGCTCTTATTTTTAGAAGTGGCAGAACTTTGGAAGCAGACAGATCAGTGTCCCCTTGCCGGGTGCCACTGCCCGTTCCTGTGATCTCAGGCAAAGCGCGGTTCCTTTCCRAGTTTCCTCGTTGTGCAATAACAATTGTTGTCCCTGCCTGGTGGAGACCTGCTGCGGATTCCTTTCTCTGACTTCTGTGTGGCATCTGGACCATGCAGCACATGGTCAGGGATCTGTGATGGTTGTTTGCAGCCTCCGTAGGGCCCAACCCAGAGCGGGGCAGAACCCTGGGCACTATTAAAGGCCATCAGTTAATAGCCAATTGTGGAAAAGTAGAGGCAGCTCTGTTGGGTTGCAATGTCAGTTCTGTTTGCTGTGAAGCTTTTGGGTGAGTCAAGAYCTACTCTGAGACTTTTCTTTCTCTGTTCAAATTAAAAATATGATTATCAATAACAAGTCCTCAGATGCCCACTTACAGTACATGCTACTGCTAGTTGCCACTTATAGAATGATTACTGTGCACGTATTCTATGCTAGCTCCTTTACTTGATTGATTAWCTCTGAGAGTTAAGAATCGCTCCCATTTTACAGATGAGGAAACTGAGGCCTRSAGAGTGGAGTTGCTCAGCCTCACCCTGTGGAGGAGTTGGGGATGCAAATGCGGTTGAGAAACCCAAAGCCTATGTTCTTGACCTCTTCCTTTGACCTGCCYAGGAGCCGTGAGAGGAGTCTCACCTTTTCAGGGACTGAGGGAGGATGGAGGGCATAGACTCAGGGACCACACCAGCTGGCTGAGAACTTCTGGCTCTGTCACTGAYGAGCTGTGGATCTTGAACAAGCTGCCTGGCTTGTCTGGGCCTTGGTTTCCTCATCTSTAGAATRGGAATGGTAACAGCTGTATCCACTGGGYTGCTGTGAGGACTCAGWGAGTTGGAGGGGCTGGTAGGCAGGGTGTGATGTGGGTGTTTGCTGTGCMGTGTGGGCCTCTGTGCAGTGTGGGCCTCTTTACACCTGCGTGATCCCTTGTGGATTCCTCGCCTGGCCTCCACTCTCAGCCTCCGAGGCTAGCTCCTATTAAAAGGCAGCTTTTAAGCCTCATGGAAGAGGAAGTATGGGCCTMTTCACAGAGATGCAGAAGACTCCTTCACTCCGGGATTCAGGCACCTGAGCCCCTCTCACGGGAGTCTCTCCTTGCAGGAAGGATGCTGACCACCTCTAACAAGGTGGAAGGCCCCCTGCAGCGTGCCGAGCCAGGCACCAGCATCCAGCTGACGTACACATCCTCCGGACTACACACCCGTCAGGTCAGCGTGACCTGGCTCAAAAACAAGCACGAGCTCCCCAAATCCAAGACCGTCATCCTYGCCAGTGGAGACACCTACAATGTGACCAGCAGTGTGCTCGTCCCTCTGCAGTTGGGTGACATGAACTCTGAGGTCCTCTGCCACGTCAAGCACAAGCTGACAAYGGTGTTCCAGAAAACCATCAATTTGGACCAGTACCTTCGCAGTAAGTCTYTATCTTTGCCAGATGACTGAGTCAGGGCAGAGTTGGGCTGTGGACTTCTYTGAGCATCAGTTTCTTCTTTGGTGAATGGTCTTACTAGTAGGTTGTGGCAGAAATTCTGTGAAACTCCTGTAAAGTACTTCACAGGGTGCTTTATTCACAGGGACCTCTCAGAAGGGGCAATGGGTGTTGCTTTTAATTGTTAGGAGTCTCTCCTTGCAGGAAGGATGCTAACCACCTCTAACAAGGTGGAAGGCCCCCTGCAGCGAGCCGAGCCAGGCACCAGCATCCAGCTGATGTACACATCCTCTGGACTCAGAACTCACTCCTCTCATGTGTAGAATGAAGACAGAACATCTATTTATCTTCTGGGGACTTAATTTTATTATTATCACCTTATAGGAAGAAGATTTGAAGRGATTTGCAAACTTACAAATTTGTTAGAATATGATGTCTTTAGATGACTAACTCTTACCTGGATATGGGGCTAAAATTTTTTTTTATCTAATTTTCTTTTATTTTCTTGGGCTGGAACAAAGAAGCGAGGGTGCCCTGAGGTTACCAAGCTGGTGAGTGAGGAGCCTTTGGCATGAATACAGGCTTCCGGCTCTGCCCTCCTAACCAGCTGCGGGTTTGCCTGCAGTTCCGTTAGCTTTGCTGTCTTTGGCTGAGTAACAGGAAAAGATCTTTTAGAGGYTTCTCCTACCTGAGTACTTATTATATAATCTCCTGGAGCTAGGGCAATTGTGCAGAGAACCAAAAAATCACAGAAGATACAAATGTCCCCAAATGACTGCTTCCTTTAAAATGAGCTGTGGCTGCACCCCTTTCTTGAGTTGGGTTTCAAGGACATTATCTCTGTGGTTGTCTTTATTTAGGTTTCCCTGAAAGCAGAGTCTGAATCTGAGGTCTGGGGGCAGAGGGCTGGGAGGTGATTCTGAGGGTGGGGAAGAGAGATGGGTTAGGAGAATAGGCGAGAAACGGTGAGTTACTGGGCTAGATATTCCTGTGGGTGCCTGGAGGGGACCCTCTGAGAAGTAGTGTAGACTGTGCCTAGAACTGACCCGTGATGGAGAGGAGGCTGGGACGTGCCTTCGTGGGCTAGGTGGCTTTTCCTGGTTAAAGAGAAACCCCAGGCAGAGGCATGAGAAGGAGTTTTGGGAGCTTGAGATACAACTGCACCCAGAGGCCAGCAGCTTGTGGAGGTGGGTGGACTGAGTCCTGCTGTGAGACTCAGTGAGTTGGAGGGGCTGGTAAGCAGTTTGCTGTGCAGCGTGGGTGTCTTGACACCTGTGTGATCCCACACCCTGGACACCATACCACCAGGAAGCCCCTCCTGCAGGAAGTGAGCCCTGCCTTGATTGATGTGTGGCAACAGCAGACCGTACCAGGCAAAGAGAGTCCACTTCCAGGGCACAGTGAATTGGGAGGTCCTACAAAAGTGGTATTTCAAGAATTTGACGCAAATGATCCCGGAGATGTGCTGGGATCACAGGCAAAGCTATAAATGAAAGAAGAAGAAGAAGAAGAAGAAAGTCTCTGAAGATAATGGTGCTGTGGGCACTTCGGGAGAGAACGCTTTGATTAAAAGAGGCCCCTCTGAAAACTGATAGAACCCTTGAATCATTTCAAATCATTTTCCAAAATCATCTTTTAATGATAGTGCTGTGAATGTGAATTTGAAATGAAGGATTTGTTGGTCCTCTAGTTTAAGTTTTGGATAAGACATGATACCAGCTTTCTTATTCCTTTGAGAGTTGGTGCATAGTTGCAGTGATATTCCATATTTATTTAAAACACAAATTATTTTTATAATTTAAGTGGTTTTTCAAGATGAAGCTCAGCCAATTCCTTTTTGACCATTTCTATGAAATGGGAGCCTGATTTTGTATGGGCTCCTTCTAAGTGTGTTTTTCTTTGTCTTTTTTCATGACATCAAGTGGCTTTCTGTGCTCACCACATTTGGTTTTGTGAGGATTAAATAAGAACACCCACRGACGTTGCCTCAGCAAAGCCAGTCAGTACACGGGAGCAGTGTCCTCAGCTGCGTCCAGGCCTCTATCCTCCCCAAAATGCCCTGGACACCATGCCACCAGAAGAAATGGGTTGCTTGGTGACACTCACCCTAGCCTSTTCCCCATGGGTACCACCGACACCACCAGACCTTCACGTCCTGGGCTTCCCTTCCAAGTCTTGCTCTTTGCTTGTTGAGAGTCCTTGTGCTGGACCTGAGCACCAAATGGGGGCACASAGCAGATAGTAAGCTTCAGGACAGGGTCTTGCCTTGGTTGTGTGACCCATTAGCGGCATCACTGATAGAACTTGATAGGTCTTGGAGGGTGAGAATGAGGAAACGGTATTTTGGGATCAGACACCCAGCTCCTTCAAATTATACCACCCAAGGACTTACTCTCTACCCTAGACCAAGAGCTGACATCCATCTTAAATAGACCCATGAGTGTTAGAAATTTCAAAATTTCAGTCTTGGAAACACAGGAAAATGAACCACACAAGGTGATGTTGGCTATGGTGGCAGCTCAAGGATCCTAATCCACAACACCCCGCCTGTCACAGTTGGATTGTGCTGGGTGAGCATTTAAAAATCTACTGAGATGGGACATATTTTATTGGATTCCAGAATAGCCTAAGGTTCCCTGTTGTGAAAACCTTCTATTGCATAGGTGAAAATCTGGTGGAAAAAAATTCTAGAAGCCATTAGATCCTATTATCAGAATCTTAATTGCGTTATAGTTTTGGGTATCAGGATAGCACAATGGTCAAACACTCCTTCTCTGGTGTAATTCCAGCTGCACCAACTATAACCCTGAGCAAGTTCCTTTCCCAAACTGAATTTCCTTCCTATTACAGTCTTAGTATCTTGGACTCAAAGACATCTAGTGGCTCTGAACCTTCAAATCTTAGGATTGTCTAGTCATAGAGAGTGAGTTGACTGATTTGTAGATTCTTAAGGGACATTCATACCTCATCTTTTCATCTTTAATGGCCAATGTGGAAAAGAAAGATTTCACCAATACCATTTATTTTTTCTTCCATGCATCCATCCATCCCCATCCATCCATCCATCCATCCAAACATGCATTCCCTCACCCATTCCGTCATGCATTTCTTTAAGCATGCACCCACCCATTTACCAATACTCAGGACCTTCTCTGYGGCAGTCCTGACCCATTCCCAGCATCACTGATAGAACTTGATAGATCTTGGAGGTTGAGAATGAGGAAATGATATTTTGGRATCAGAAGCTCTCAGCTCCTTCAAATTGTACCACCCAAGGACTTTCTCCTGGACAAATGAACCCCACCCCCAGGGAACTGCCAGAGGAATTCCCACGGTAATTGTCTGTTCTCTCCGGGTTTTGTCAGTTCCCCCTACAGTGACAGTGACCCAGTCTTCGACTCCCTCYGGCTTGGTGGCTGTTACCTGCCTTGTGCAGAGATTCTATCCCCAGGAGAYGCACCTCACCTGGCTGGAACACTGCCACGCACTCAAAGGGACCCATCAGCCCACGCCCAGGAAGAACCGCGATGGCTCCTACACCTTGGAAAGCTTGCACTTGGTGAACGTGTCGAGGCAGAGGTCCGAGTGGCTGGTCACCTGCAGGGTGCAGCACCAGCAACAGCCTGCCGTCCAGGCCAGCCTCATCCTGTCCACAGCGTCCCATCCCAAACGCGAGCCCTCTGGGAGCCCAGGTCAGTGCACCTCTTCTCTTACYGGCAACTGGGTCACCTCTGTCTCTGGAGTGGATTCCAGAAGGCACTTGGAGGAAATGGAGCTGGATCATTACTGACATCTTGTCAGAGTAGAAATCTGACTTCTAGAATAATCAGAATGGTTTCTAGCCAGTGGCTTCCTTTGGCTGTGGCCATCCTGCAAGTTTCTTTCATTTCTGTGCAGAGACTGGTCTTCCAGCAAAAACTTGCAAAAAGACCCTGGAGAGGGTGTAAGTTAKTGCTCTTTTACTGGTGACTTTGAGTTGGCTGTCAGCAAGACTCTTGGTTAAAATAGTCTATTTGACATGGAGGTGAGCTTGCTGGACGTTGTTCTATAAGACTTGCTTGAATAACCTCACCTGGGCACCGCATAATGTCTGCTCCAATGACAGAACCAGCTCTTCCAATTAATTATTGCACAGATATAGACTCCTCTGGGCTCAGTTTGCTCATCTGTAGATAGAGCCTAAGGAAACATCCTAATTCACAGAGTCCTTATAAGGTTTAAATAAGTTAATMTAAGCATAATCTACACGAATGTCTGCAATAAAGCCGGCTTCTATTATTACTACTTGAATTAGGGTAGAATTATTTTTAAATGGTTTCCAGTGATGGTAGCTGTGTAAACGTAGGCAAGTGAGTCAATGATCTCTGAGACTCAGTTCACTCATCTATGAAATCTTGCCGATGAGACCAGCTTCCTGTGATAATAGCAATGGTATGATAAATGACCCCAAGGGCTCAATGGCATGCGCTGAACTTGGATTTGTACCCCGGGAGCCTGGCACATTGACTGGTGGATGTCAGATACTCAAATCAGCATTTATTGGGCCAAATCCAAGGTGAGCCTCATAGGTCAAAATCACCTTTCCTTTCCAAGAGAGCAAACTGTCAGGTTTGGGACAAGGAATTGGGTACAACTTGCTGGCTCTGGAACTTCCCGGCTGCCTGACCTCAGAGATATTCACACTCATAAAGCCCCATTCAATGGCTTCTTCTGCTTTGTGGCGTTTAGGTCCAGGGACGTCCACCCTTACCTTTGTGGCTTTCCTCTTGGGTGTCAAGGTGCTGCTGTTGGTGAGTTTCACGGTCTACTACGTCTGTAGGCGGTGGAAACTGTGACAGGTGAGTTTGGGGTGGGCCTAAGTCCCCAGRGAGACAGGTCAGGGGCACAGTTATGGCTAGCAAGAGAAATTCAGGGCAAGGGTACAAGGTCACCATTTTAGTCAGCTTTTTCACTGCTGTGACCAAAAGACTTGACAAGAACAATCTCAGAGGAGGAAGAGTTTATTTGGGGCTCATGGTTTCAGAGGTCTCAGTCCATAGATGGCAGACTCCGTTGCTCTGGGCCTGAGGGGAGGCAGAACATCTTGGCAGAGAGGCGTGGAGGAGGAGTGGGGCTCAGGACTTGATAATCAAGAAGCAGAGAGAGACTAAGCTTGGCTCCCCAGTGACCTCATATACACACCAAGGCATGCCCACCAGCGACCCACCTCCACCAGCCACACCTACCTGCCTACAGTCATCACCCAGACAATCCATTCAAGTGGATTAATGCGCTAATTAGACCAAGGCTCTCCTAACCCAGTCATTTCTCCTCTGAACCTTCTCGCATCGTCTCTCACATGAGCATTTGGGTGACACCTCATATCTAGACCACAGCAAGAGGGATTCCAGCAGTTAGGTTCCAGAGGCAGTGACGTCCCTTGTTTGCTTCTCATGCTCTGTTCCTTGTACGGCCACCACTCAGCTTTCTATAGACCATAGGAACTTGCCCCGATTCCCAGCATCCAGCAGAGAGGCCAGTGACCCTCTAGGTAATGTGTGTCTGGACCTTCCAGAGCAGACTCACCCTCATTGTTCCCTTCACTTGGCTGGGTTCTTGGGGATGGAGAGGGTCATGTGTTTTACTGTCCTCCTCTGACTGGTGGTGACGATGAAGGAGGGCATGGGAGAGATAGAGGGGTTGGGATGTAGTTAGTAGGGACTGTTTTCCTGATCTGCACCTGAACTCAGGCCAAGCAGAGTACCTGCCACATAGTAGGTGCTCAATAAATATTTGTGGACTCAGTACATAATGAGCAAATAAAAGGATGAGTTAATGATTTCCACCAACAGCTCCTGCATCCTCTTTGGTCCGTTGCCATCCACCCTCTCTGACAGGCCCAAATGGACAGAAGCAGCTCCAAGGACCTGGAAGTGACCTCAGGCCCCACTCTTTCCTCTGCCACCCCCACCACAGAATGCTTCCTCCGCACACCTTCCGATGTTCCTTCCCTCAGAATTTTGGAGCTGGGCAGGGATGGACTTGGGTCAGGGGACTTGGGAAAGGCTCAGTCCTAATGAGCTRGACTTCAGATTGACTCTGCCTCCATCCAAGAGGATCCAATTGACCAAGAAAACACATGTCCACCTGCCCTTGATCATGAGCAGCCTTTAATATTCAGAGATTTCACCTTGACTCAGGGCTTCCGCAAAGTAGGATTTTAACACATACAGAATTTGAAGTTACTGTCTGTTGAGTAAGCATTTATCTGTTCTCAAGTGTATAAAAATGAAATATAAAATATCCCAGGACCTACCATATTATCTTCACAAAATATTAACATTTTGCCATTATGTTGTTTAGTTTSTTTTTTAAAAAATTTGTCCTGAATTTGATGTTCATTCTCTGATTTTATGATTTTTTACAACATACATATAAATCCTTAAGCCATGTACAGTGTTATTTTGCATGTTTTAAGTTTTACGTAGATGCTAGTCTATCACACACAGCATTTTCATGCTTAACAGTTTGTGGATTTATTGTGTGGATTTATGTAACTCTGTTATTAATGTCCACTGATCTGTGGTTTTCTGTTGCCAGAACAGGCACAATTCATTGATTATTCTTCTGTAATGGATATTGAAGCTATCGTCAATGTTTTTACTGGTATAACCTTGTCTGTACAGACAWTCTTATGTTTGTTTCCTTGGGCACATGTAAGAGTCCCTCTTGTTCCTCTAGTGTAGCGCACAAAGTCGCAGTGTTGGTAGCATTTGAGTTTTTTGTTATACAAAATAAAATTTTAGAGTCTTTGCTCAAGTTATGCTCTTTTGACATTGTCTTTAGTCTAGCCATATTTTTCTGGTGTGTGTATGTGTGTGTGTGCGCGCACACACATTAGTCACAGGCAGTAGGGATCTAACGTTTTTCTACAAGAATGAATTCTCCAGTCCTCTGTGATATATCTGCTGCCACCTTTGCCATGTATCAATTTTCTCTAAATCTGAGTTTCTTTTGGTGAGCACTCAATTCCATGAATCTCCTTGTCCATCTCTGTCAACACTACACTGTGTTAGAAGAGCTTTAAATTTTGCTCTTTTAAGCAAACCATTCTACTTTTTCTTGTTCACATTTCTCATGGCTATTCTTAGCCCAAAAGCATTTTAGAATAATGTTGTCAGGTTTCATGACACTTAGAATTATGATTTGATTGCATTGAATTTCTATACTAATTTGGGGAAAATTGATATATATRTGTGTGTGTGTGTGTGTGTGTGTGTGTGTGTGTGAATTGTATGTATTATTATATATGATCTTATATATATCAAGTATATATTTAGTTTTAGATGACTTTTAATTTATGATTTTTTAATTTTTTCACCCATAATGGTTTTTGTATCTTTAATTAGTACTCTTTTTAACACTTTCTAGTTTATGAAATCTTAAAAAAAATTATTGTTACTTTTTTTCAGTGGTTTTAACTACTGAATAGGATTGCCATTGAGTTTTGAACATCAGTCTTTTATCCAGCAAATTACAAAATTCTCTTTCTAGTGCTACTAATGTGAATATTCTTTTGATGTGTTACTCTTATAACATTAGTTTAATGATCTAAAGTCCATTTTCCCTTTATCAAAGTTCCATGTACATGTAGTTTGAGTCAAATAGTCCTTTAAATTCTACATTTGAAAAGCAGAGTCTCCCTAACCACCCACCATTTCCTACCTCCCAAAGCAACACTTTTCAACTTTTTTGTGGGGGAAGGGTGTGGTACTGGGGATTGAACTCAGGGACCCTTGACCACTGACCCACAGGCCTAGCCCTATTTTGTATTTTATTTAGAGACAGGGTCTCACTGAGCGGCTTAGTGCCTCGCTATTGCTGAGGCTGGCTTTGAACTCTCCATCCTCCTGCCTCAGTCTCCCAAGCTGCTGGAATTACAGGCATGGGCCACCGTGCCTGGCTATTTTTCAACTCTTTTAACTGGTTATTTTAGATTTTACTCTCATATCTTATATCACATGCTTTGATGGCCACTTCTTAATTTTCCCCTCTTAGGCATTGTTTAATGACTTCCTATGACCAAAGATATGGGTTCAACATTCTGTCCCTGTTGACTTCCTTCCACACAGGTGTCCCCAGAATATGATTGTATTTTAATTTGAGACAGCTTGCATTATGGTGACTGCATAAACATTATTTGTAGCTGWGTGTAGCAATGCTTCCAGTTTTGTCTTATAAGCATGCTCATGTGACCACTGTGACAATCAAGACACAGAATGATTCTATGATAATAAAAGCCTCCCTTATGCTCCTCCTTGATAAGGTGCCCACTCCACTCTACCAGAACTCTGCCAAATGCTAATGTATTCTGTGTCTCCATGATGTTGACGATGTTGTATAAATGTCTCCTATGGTATGTGAAATGTTCAGTTTGATTTTCTTTGCTCAAAATGCCTTTGAGGGCTRGGGATATAGCTCAGTTGGTAGAGTGCTTGCCTTGAATGCACAAGGCCCTGGCTTCAATCCCTAGCACCACTACACACACACACACACACACACACACACACACACACA